CATAAATTCAAACAAACAAAGAAAAAAAAAGAAGAAGAAAAATATCACAGCCACAATACAAACATTCATCACTGGGGCACAAATCATAAGGTGGGGCATCGTGTAATGTGCCCTGGTTTTTAGAGGTACTGGCGGAAGTAAGACCCAAATTGCGTTGGGAGTACATCGTCTATTTGGGTCTTATTTCCGCCAGTACCTCTAAAACTAGGGCACATTACACGATGCCCCACCTTATGATTTGTGCCCCGGTGTTGTATTGTATTTTTCTACTTCTTTATTTCTCTCGTTAATATATTTCCCTAACGGAAACTAATAGGTTAAACAGAGCTTTGCCGCACAAAAGTGGGAACTAGAAAATATTAATTGAGCGATTGTACCATATCGATTATGAATCTATACTGGATATACCTCGGTCACACTTGGAATTAAAAATATATGTAAAAACAAACATTACAGAAAGATTGAACATATTCATACATTGAAATACATTAAACTATTAACATTAAAAAAAATAAATTGAGTATATATTCTGAATCAATATTTCATTTGGTGCCGAAAAAACAAACATATCAACTAATGTTATAAATAATGAAAAATCATTGACTTCAAGCGTAATTCAAACTTAAATTTTTAAGAAAAATAGGACGTTAATTTGTTTGTTCCTTACAATTAAGCACAAAGCTACACAACGGGCTATATATGCTCTGCCCACCACGGGTATCGAAACCCGGTTTTTAGCGTTATAAGTCCGCAGACATACCGCTGTGCCACTTCTAGAACATTCGAAATCCATGAGAGCAAATGGCCGATAGGAGTATTGTTTAAGTTGTGGTAATTACGATGTAGGAGATTCTAGTAAAGTGCATACACATTAAATACTGATTATTTTATACAATAATCCACCCTCACTGTCGGTATGTTAGGTAAGGAAATTACTTTAGCTGTTTGTTTATTATAAAGCACAAAACAGAACAATGAGCTATCTGTGCTGTAACCCCCCGTGGGTATCGAAACCTAATTTATAGGGTTATAAAACCTCTGACTTACTGCTGAGTCATCGCGAGCTTGACATTAGCTTGATTTAATATCTCAACATGTCGACTCGAAATCTGAGGGTCGCTGGTTCGAAACATGCTCGCTCTTTCAGCTGTGTGGGCATTATAATGTGTCGGTCAGTCTCACTATTCGTTGGTAAAGAGTAGCCCAGGAGTTGGCGGTGGTTGATAATGACCAGCTGCCCTACCTCTAGTCTATCACTTCTGTAACATTGAGCGAAATTCAAAAGCAAATATACAAACAAACTCTTTATATTCTAGATTACTGAAAATTTACTATATTTAAACTTTATAATTTATAATGTACTTTTACAATATCTGATTTAGTAAAACAAACAAACTAAAAAACGCCATAAGACATCCGTTTTACTGCAAAATCAAACAATACAATACTTTCAAATACATTACTTTATATTTCATTCACAATATTACGTGATATCTGAATTTCATATGTAGAAATCTGCAAAACATTTGCGGTCAAATTAGTATTTTTATTGCAAAAATACTTCTTTGATTACAGGATTTCTCGAATAATACAAAATAATTATAATCGCAGACACCGGAATATATAAGTCTATTTGTCTTAGGCCTAACATTAGTTAAGACTTTATTACGTACGGCCTATAATCGATAAAGAGATAAATTAACACTGCTACTTGTGTACTTTGTTTTTCCTTTAGTTTAGTTAGGGCTAAACTTTATCGTACTTAATACTATCAAAAAAATAAACTTATAATATTATTCTACAACCTAACGTTAGACCTTTTTTAAAAACCTTTATAAGGTTTTAATATATTGTTGTACAAAGTGTCTACTAAAGTATACTTGTATCCATCTTTTGTTTAAATCCGTTGAAATGAAGTGCGTGCGCAGGCGCATTTAGATAGTAAGGTACACTTGAGGGCATACAAAAGCTGAATATTATTATAATAGATTGTTGCTGCGATAATAGAGTGTGATTTGTTTACGCTCCAATGTTTAAGATGCTAACCTGGACTATTTTGGAGTGGATCTGTACCAGCACTTACAGTGATTTTTGTTGTTGCTGTTGTCTCAGATTAATTGATTTGAAGGTAAATGTGAAAATATTCTAATTAAATTAGGAATTTATGCTCTATCATCCCACAGCAGCTGAAATATTTTTTGTCATACATTTTCTTCGCCTATTGATAAAAAAACGTGTAATAAACTTCGTTTGTTTCCATCACGTGACGCCAGCTGATAATGGAAATCATACTTTTGTCTTACTTACTTTGTGCATTTGAGTAGTATAAAACTATAAAATGGTTAAACGCATTCTATTAAAAGGATTTTGAACATGCACGTGAAAATCACAGCCAATATAAATTCGCAATGGAAAAGAATGTATCAGAACTACATTTGGAGTTTTCGTCGTTAGTATAATGCCACCGAAAATCAATTGTTTTTGGGAAGAGTGTGTAACAGATCTATTCGACAAAAAATATTCATACATTCAATCATAAAGATGCGATGAGATCGGGGGTTTAGAATTCCCAAGACGATGATATCACTTGTACTTCACAACATTGGGAAACAAAAGAAAAAGGATTAACTTCGGTACCAGGATCGTTCAGAAAGAGACCTGCAACAAGTCGTAACCCAAGACATGGTACGCAAAGTGCGTTAAGATGTGAGAATCAACAAACACTAAGGTCAGTGGCAAAAGCCCCAAGCAACTGTGCGCAAGAAGGAACTCTGCCTAGAAAAGCTACACAAGTCAGGTGCATATAAATTGCTTCTACGACATATTCAACCGTCGTATGCCTCAAGTGAAGAAAATGGGTATTCATGCTACTCCATAGAAAGACGCACTGGTTGAGTCGCCAGACACTGGGAAAAGGACTTGGTGTCTTATGGATATGAAACCCTTACGGAGGAGTCTTTTCAAGGGAAACTACCCTGCAGGGCTATTATCAAGATGCATGACGGACGTGACGACATAGACTTTAACAACCTGGTGAGGCTCCAGAATCATTTTGATATAGCGTACCCAAACTCGGTATATTATTTCACATAGAACCAATAAACCTTTATCACCGAAATCAAGCCTTACAACAATTTTAAAGTTACCAATATTCTATTCGTCAATTGTTTTTTAAACCCTGATATATGACATATAATGGATACATTTCTCCAGGTGACGTGTGCGTGCATATATATGCACAGTATATATCTGAAATTTGTATATGTATAAACATATACATATACATATGTATATGTATATACATGTGCATATAGATACATATATGTTAATACTTTTCATTAACTTATATTTTCATTAATAAATTAAGATTATTCATTTTATATTCACATTCTAGGACGTTTACTGTTTGTTATATGAAGATGCCCCCTAGTGGCACAGCGGAAATTATGCGAACTTATAACGTTAGAAACAGGGTTTGGATACCCGTGGTGGGTACAGCACAGATAGCCCGTTGTGTAGCTTTCTGGTTAACTACAAATAAAGAAACTAATTGAAGATAATAATGTTCTCTTTCCTACCTTGTTGTATAAATGACAACTCTGACTTCTCTTTTATTTTCTCGCTCCACGTGTCTCGGGATATATGTAACTGATATTCCACTTAAGTTACTTGTAATTCGATCATTAACTGGAGCGAGTCTAAAACCAAAACGGCGCCAAATAAATATATTTAGTAAAAGTGTAGCCGTACAAAGCATTTTAATAAAAAGTTAATTTGTTTATTTATCTAAATGAATAGTTAATTAAATAAATAAAAGTATAGAGATGTATAAATGTCAAAACCAAACCTCATGTTTTTGTGTTTAATTTTTGAATTTCATGCAAAGTTTGAAGTAATAAAGGCAGTTAGTCCACATCACCCATCGCCAATTCTTGGACTAGTTTTACTAACGAATAGTGAGATTGGTCATAACTTTATATCGCCCCCACGGCTAAAAGGTTAAGCATGTTCGGTGATAGGATTCGATCTCGTGACCCACAGATTGCAAGTCGCGTGCCTTAACCACTAGGTCATCCCAAGATCACTTTATACGTTACGAATGCATTTCATTCATTTATGTCCCGATAATGATCGCATAATAATTCTTTTAAAATTATAGGTAAACATATAAACAAGTTATTTAGCTTTCAAGTGATAGAAAAGCGAATATATTAAATATAATAGGTTTTAGACCTAATTATGAAACATATTTTTATAAAAAATATTTCCAACAGCTCTAAAAAGTTTGTTTTGTTTCAGCGCAAAGCTTCATAATGGGTTATCTGAGTTCTGTCCACCGCAGGAAATCCAACCCCAGATTTTAGCGTTGTGAGTTCGTAAACTTATCACTGACCCACAGGAGGACAATAGCTAGAAACGATATTTACGATTATTAGAATCATACACATTAACACTTCAACTACGTCGGAAATACGTATTTTTTAATTTTATTATATTTTCAATTGTTTCAGCGATTTTTTTGACAATTGACATATATATATTGAATATGTCTTGGAGCAGTGTCTCTTTTGAAATTGCCGTCAAAATGAAACAAGGAATTTATTTTAATGAAACCAACTTATTAAACAACTGATAAAATTTAGAAGTTCCGAGTTGAATAAATAGAAAAAAAATTCAACGTGTTTTATTTCATTAAAAAACATAGCATCGCAGGAACTTCAAATTAATGCTGATTGATTGTCCAAATCTGAA